GTGCAGAGCAAATGTTTTGAGAATGATGAGGGCAACGAATGTACAAATGTGCTTTACACAATTGATGTATGTATGGATTGTGATAAGAGCTGTATGAGCCCCCAAGAAAATGATTTTTAAAAAGTAATTAAATACTTTCTAAAAGGTTAAAAAAAAACCAACAAGGATATTGCAAGTGAAGATGCTAATCAAGAAGCAATTTGGAAATATCTTCAGCAACAGTTTTTTTCCCCCTGTGAGGTACGTTCTTTCATATTTTTCACTAATATTTTAAAACTCTTATCATCTAGTTTTGTGTGCCTCTTCTAATGTTCTTATTTAAGTATTGACCGCATTTCGGTACATCGTTTGTTTAATAGTGGAAACAGTCATTAGGGCAGCGAACAAGTTGTTGTTCTACAGTTGAACTATCACCACTCACTAGAGTGTGTTTTACACTCCCTAGTAGTGAAAGTCAATGCCAGAGAAGAAATGGAGGAATGGGGGCCGGGGGCGGGGAAGACCCCCAGCCATGCAATTTCCCACTGTTTCTTCTTTTTCTGGGCCCAGGGCTGCAGTCCCCTCTGATTGCACCATCAGAGTGCCCCGCCCCGGGCCTCCTGGAGGTCCATCACCCCCAGCTGTTGACAGCTGGGGTCCCAGTGGGCGTTCCCCTCCAGCCCCTGAGCTCCAGGAGAGATTCCCACCGCTTCTTTGCGACTGTTCCCCGGAAGCCTGGTCGTTGGTGCCCACGCAATAGATGATGGTCCGATGAATGAACGAAGGACTGATGGACCCGGAGTTAGTCATGCGTCTCCAATCAGACCCAGAACGCTGTGCAATTTGGACAAACGTCTAAAACTCACCGCTTTTCGCGCGCAGCAGGACGCGAGGCGTGGACCAGAGGGTGGAGTCCACCCGGGGCCCGCAGTGGCGACCCCTGCCCGCGCGGCAGGCGGAGCTTGGGCCTCGCTCACCACACCCCCGACGTCACCGTAGGGACCCGCCCCCTCAGCCTTCCAGGCAGTTCTTTGACCCAGTAATTGTACAGTTGGGAATTGACTAAGAAAATAATAAAGTCTCCAGGTAGAAGATGTTCATCTCAGCGGTAGACAGAAAAGAGAAGCAATTGTTTGGGAACTAATGTCTTTTCTGGTGTAACCAACATTTGCAGTCGGTGATTGCTTACGTAAAGTACTGTGTTTACCCGGATGGCAGAGTCCCCCGCAGCCCTTGAGCAGTGTCGAAGAACACTTGCCGCGAAAGGAAAAATGCACTTCGGAGGTTGAAATGGTTATACAAATACAATAGTGTGTATTATGGAATCTCAACGTTGCTTTCTATTAAAAAACACCACTTGTATAAATAGAACAGCTTGTTCAGAAGACTGGAGACAAGCTCTAGCTTGTTAAAAATGCAAAAACTCCCTGCCATGGAGTCAGTTCAGAGACTCTAACGGTTTACAGGAGTAGAAAGCCCAGTCTGTCTCTCACAGAGCTGCTGGTTGTTTTGAACTGCCAACCACGGGGATTGCAGCCCAACCTGTAACTGTTAGGTTTCTGGAGTGGGTGATACCTCTGTTCTTTGCTTTGCATGCTGAAAGAATTCACGCCAAAGCACGCACGTTGTGTAATCCAAGTGAGTTTTTATGAAAGACAAGCTTCAGGTTTTGCAGTCTCCAAAGGGTACACGCTATTTCTGGAAAGTGTGCCAAGGTGCACAGAGCCATACTGGGGTTCACAACTGGGCACAAACAACCAAGTGGCAAAGAGCTCCCACACATGCGGAACTTGGGGGCGGGGGATCCGGGAGGCCAGAAGCCCAAGAGACCTAGAGGCTAAGAGAATGGGGGCCCAGAGACAAAGAGCATGTGGACCAAGAGGCTGTGGGCCCCAAGTAGGCCTGGAGCGGGCCCATGTGTGCCCACATGGAGAAGGGAGACCCTCACCCTCCACCTGGTGCTGACCAGGAGCCCGGTAAAAGAGAGCAAGGCCTTCCCACAGCCTCTGGCTGGGGAGGTGTCATTGATGGTATCGGTTGACCCCATTGGCTGAGTTAGGCCCACCTGTGTGATGGCCCTAAGGTGGGTGTGTCCAAGATAGTGGTTTTACCTGGGCCTGGGGGGCTTGTGTCTGTGCACGCTCAGTTTGGGGTCTTCGTAGGTGTTCAGTGGTTGCCGGATTTCTTTCCAACCTCCTCTATGGGGCTCCTTGCAGGCACAGGAGGGACAATCCCCCTGTCTCTAAACTAGCTACGTAGTATAATCTCTATTACCACCCTAGCATGTTAATAGTAGAATGCAATCATTGCCTTTTGTGCGTTTTCCCATAATAACCAAATTTTCTACATAAATCAGGTCCTGCTTTTGTATCATAAATAATATTTTCCCCAAAAAATCATTGTAATTTTTAAAATTGGGGGGAAGCGGGTTTAGAAGAGAGAAGGGAAACCCCTGACTTCGTGGTTGGGGGGTTTGATAGAGAACGTGAGGGTGATCATTTTCTGAGGTGGAGACGCCTGGTCTATGGCAGCTAGTGAGTGATTTGGGTTCTGAACTTGATTCGGGAGGAGTGGCTCGTCGCCACTCTCACAGGAAAGAACGCCAACTGCTGCCCGTCAGCCAGCAACGAAAGAGGCAATAGAGTAAGAAAAGGAAAGCAGAAAATTTGCCACCCTGGGGCATTGGGGGAGGCTTCTCCTTCCAGACTGAAGGATTCTGGGGCCCTGCCAGTCCTGCTGCTGGAAGCCCCTGGTCTTTGGTCTCCTCTTCTGATTCTGCCCTCACCTGGTGACCCTGTAGGACCTCCCATTGCCCCAGCAAGTGGGAAGAGAGTTTCACCCTCCCAACAGGTGCCCAACTCTGGCGAAGGGGACCCTTTCAGCACTATGGTGATGAGTGGCTCCTTTTTGCCTCCTTTTCCTCATGAGGCCCCTCCCAGGGCCAAGAAGGTGGGGTGGGGGTGCCCAGTGAAATGCTGGTCCCAGACGGGCGTGGGGTGCTCTTTGAGAGGTATTAGGTAAGTTCGCAGGTCTCTGGACTTGTGGGCTGTGTTGTAGCTGCCCCTTACCCCACAGTTGACGTGAGGCAAGAAGGGTAGGAGGGTGAAAGGTAAGCAAGTGGGAGTGAGTTGCCCTGTCCTCTGCACTCCAGGATGGGTGGGTTGAAATCCCGGGAAAGGAGGGACTAGGGAATAAGAGAAAGGTGAAAGTGAATGGAGTCCGCATCTGCCCCCGCAGCATCAGGTGATATTAATTAGACTGGTGTGCAATTTCTGGAGCTCCTGGGTTTCGGGCTACTTGCAGTTCAGGGGAGACATCTATCGACAACCCAGAAGTCTCCTAGGACTGGCAGTTGCACGTCTTGGCACCCAGGACCCCCCAAACTGTGATTCCCAACAGGACTGGAAGCGATAGGTTGCCATGACTCCAGAGGCGGTGGCCTCATGGCTGCTCCAATCATCGCCCGGTAGTGGAATGGGGCGTGGTCCATCCTGGAGATAAAGTTACAGCGGATTCGGGGGTTGGGGAGCCCCGGGACCAAACCCTGCGGGAAGCCGGTTCTCAGTGCTGGCTGGGGGGCATTGGACATACCCGGGCGGAGAGGGCAGGGGTCGACGGGACGCATCCGGACCTCGCCACGCCATGGTGCCCTCGGGGATCCTGGTAACAGGAACATCTTTCGCCGCGTTCCGGGGGCTGCACTGGGGGCTGCAGACGCTGCCCGCGCCTGGACCTGCTGCTAAGAATCCTTGGAAGTGGTGGAACATTTGCGTCTCTCTGTTGCACAGCCTGCTCTCTGGGGCCGGGGCGCTGCTAGGGTGCGAGATCGGGGTGCGGGAGGCACGGGGTGTGCGGTGTGCGTAAGGGCAGGAAGGGCATTGTAGAGGGATGGGGGTAGAGGCTGGCTGGGTGGGAGGGCGTGCGCAGCAGGGGGAATCAGAGAGTGCTCAGCCTCTGACCATTGCTCCCCTACTTCCCCCAGGCTGTGGCTGTACCCGCAGATGTTCTTCGATCCCATTCATGGCCACCCACCTTGGACTCTGGCGCTGGTGGCTATGTCTGTGGGTGAGTCTGCAGGGCAGGCTGGGCCTGTGAGGGGGCGAGGGCGGGGGCGGAGGGCACCCTTTCAAAGGTCATTTCAAGTCCCTGTCCTCCACTCTTGCTGGAGGGTAAACAATTTTGGCCGCTTTACTAAAAAAATCGATCAAATAAAAAAGAAAAGGAAGAGGGATCTCTCTCTCTCTCTCTGGGCTGAAGCCCCTGCACCTTCCGTGCCCATAGGTTATTTCCTGGCCGATGGAGCTGATCTCCTGCAGAACCAGACCATCCGCCAGGCCTGGGACCTACTCTGTCACCATTTGGTGGTGAGACTCTGATGGGAGGGGTGAGGCAGGGAGGGAGGCATGCCCAGCTTGGGGTCCCCAATCTCTTTCTAGCTTCCTGTCCTCTGGTTTCCCAGAGAGCCTCTGAGCCCAGCTGGGCTTGATCCTCACCCCCTTGGGCTGACATCCCTGAGGGCAAAGCCCCAGCTGGGAGCCTGAACATCATCTAAGGAGCCAGGATCCTGTGCAGGTGTCAAAAACCTCACCTCCCACTACCATCCATCCAGTCCATTCTAACTCATAGCCACCTGGTGTAGGGTTTCTGAGGCTGTAAATCCTGATGGTGACAGATGGCTTACCCTTGGAGGCACTGGTGGCTTAAAATTGCCCATCTTATGATTAGGGGACCAATGCTTACCCAACAGAGCCAAGGTGCTCCTTATCTGATTGTCAAAAATCAGAAAGCCACACTCATTGCCATTGGGTTAATGCCAAGCTCTGATGGTGTCCTAGTGGGTTACAAATCGGGCTGCTAACCACAAGGCCAGCAGTTTGAACCCACCAGCTGCTCCTCGGGAGAAAGATGAAGTTTTCTAGTCCCATGAAGAGTTACATTCTCAGAAACCCACGGGGCCATTTCTACCCTGTCCTATAGGGTCACTGTGATTAGCTGGTTATAAAAGCGTTGACATATATCTTTTTCTGAAGAGAGGGAGCCCAATATATAAGGTGGGAATGAGGCATGAAAGCCAGGAATCGGAGTTACAGATTGTACAGAGCAGATGTTGCAGGCTCAGGGTGAGGCAGCCGGTGGCCCAAGGCTGCTTTCCACAGAGGCAAGAGGGGCAAAGGGTATCCCCCAAGGTAAAGGTCAGCATAAGGGTCACATATCCGAGGGGATTCCCCCAAAGGACTAAGAGCCCTTTTTTAAGGTCTTGGATGTTGGGGCACCTGGTGGCAGGGCGTTGAAGTTCATCTGACTTCTGACCCTGGCTCCCAGGTAGTAAGCTGCCTCAGCACCGCGGTTCTGTCCAGCCACTACGTGGGCTTCTCCATGGTGTCTCTACTCCTGGAGGTGAACTCTGCCTGCCTGCACCTGCGCAAGTTGCTGCTGCTCTCGCACCAAGCCTCGTCGTTGGCCTTCAGCATGGCCAGCTGGGCCACCCTGGCCACCCTGGTCCTCTTCCGCCTGGTGCCTCTAGGGTGGATGAGTCTGTGGTTGTTCTGGCAGCGTCATCACCTGCATCCGGCACTGGTGGTTCTTGGTGGTGGTGGGCTTGTTGTTGTGGGTACAGTGAGCATCATACTGGGGGTCCGAATCCTGGTCAGTGATATCCTGAGATCTCGATCCCACCAACACACCACTAAACGCAAGGAAACTGTGGGGAGCAGAACATGTGGTGGTGGCAGTGAGACTGTCAGGGCTGACCACAGGGGCAATTCCACCCTCAGCCTGGAAGACTAGGGAGAAGCCACAGGCTTCCTGGTGGAGGTGGGCCAGCACAGAAGGATGGTGGTCCTTAATGCCCATTCTCCCATTGGGTCAGTGTCTCTTCCATCTAATTTGTACCCTTTCCCATTCCTCAGATCTGAGGAGAAAAGCTGAGATCTGTGGGTGGGCAGGAACCAGGATCGTGTCCCCTGGCTTCCATCATCAAAGAACCGCTCTTTCCAGCAGACTCACCCAAGAGGTAAAGCCAGTGCTCCACGATGGCATAGCTGGGGGCAGGAAGCTGGAAGAAACTGCCAAAGGGAACAGAAGCCCTATGTCCAGGTAGTACAGGGACAGCGGAGGGACGGTGAGGTTCTGCCAGGATCCCAGAGGTCCAGTCTGCAGGGGGAAGGTCAGAGGGAAGAGAGACCCCCCTGTGGCCACATTCTGGCAGTGGGAGGAAGGAACAAGTGGCGCCCTGTCCGGGAGGCATGGCAGGAATAGTTGCCAAGAGTCCAGAGAACCCGGATGAAAGCAATTCCTGGTGATATATTTGGATTTCAAAACCACGGTATTGCGCTTAAATTTTCCCTCAATTCTACTATGCCCACCCAGTGACTTTTGTCTTTTGCATTATCTGACCATTTAAACAAAAATGCAGATGCATAGGGGGATGAGCTTGAGTCTGGCTCTGTCTTCTTGGCAAAGGATAGATGTCCAATGTCTCAGGAGGGACTCAAACATCCATTCTGGGTATCCTGGTGTAGGATCCTCCTAGAGAAGCGGTTTTCAAACTGTGGGTTGTGACCCCTTTGGGGGTTGAACGACCCTTTCACAGGAGTTGCCCAATTCATAACCATAGCAAAATTGCAGTTATAAAGTAGCAACGAAAATAATTATAAGGTCAGGGTCACCACAACATGAGAAACTGTATGAAAGGGTTGGGGCATTAGGGAGGTTGAGAATCACTGCCCTAGACACAGGATTTCATCGAAGAATGGGGTCAGAGGCAGAAGCTCTTGAGGAAAGACACTGGGTCTCAGAGGGATTAAGGACTAGCTGATGCTGTTCTGGAGTTTACCTACAAGCCTTCCTTCCACCGCTGTCATTTCTATTGCATCCCTTCTTCCAGGTGACACCCTGTCTTGATAGAACATCAAAGTTATGGGAATATAGAGCAGGTGGATGGTGCTATTCTACTAACCATGGAATTAAAAGAGAGAACTCTCAATCCTCCACAGAAAAGATACATGAGCAAAATCAGACCCAGGAAGATGAAACCACACAGATGCACACAGAGGCTGTATGTGGAGAAGGGCCTGAGGTGGAGAAGAAAGACAAAGGAAATGACAGAAGCAGACATACATCGAGGGAAAGACAGGAAGGGTCTCCCAAGCGTGGAAGGCCCAGACTGTCCAGACAGCACAATAATGAGGGTGAGTGACAAGGGGGCACAGTGACGCTGCAGAGAGACGAGGTGCCAGTGGCAGACAGAGGGAGTAGCGGAGAGAGAGCAGAAAGAGGTGGGTGCAGGGATGAGGTGGGATTACTCAGGGAAATGAATAAGCAGAAGAGCAGCAGGCGGCAGCAGCGACAGTGGCCAATGGAAAGACTATTGACCGAGAAGTGGGCAGTGCGTGGAGTTGGAGACAGGCAGAAAGACAAAGGACAGATGGCCATAGGGCAAAGCACAAAGACAGCCTGTTGCTGGGGGACAGGCAGTGACTGGTGGGCAGACAAGG